TATATAATTATGTTATAATTTTATTTAAATATAAAATTGTGATATGATTATAAAATCTTTTATTTTTTGGTTGTTTTATATATTACATTTGTAAATAAGTAATTAATCCATATAATTTTTTTCAATGTTTGATTTTAGATTTTAAAAAATATTGTATTATATATATATAGTCTATATTTATCATTTTGTCTAAGTTCCATAAAATATGGAAACCAACACGAATAATACTAATATTATAGTGAGCAAAATAAAATTAAAATTAAAAAGTTGTTAATTGAGGAGGCGTGATTAAGGGTTCACCTTGGTTCGTGTAATCAACGCTCTCTTTATTAACGGTCATCTGAGCTCTTTATTACTTTGGCAATTGGCATCTTTTTTCTGAGAATGCAGCCAAACTTGATTTGGAAGAAAAACATGGCAAAATATTTTTCAAATCAAATCCCTACTTATTTAGGATCATATGATATTATCATTGAATCTCAGATATTTAAAAACCTCGATCTTGTCATTAAAACTAGAGGGGCAGATTTTTTTCCCCTCTTCATAGTTATTTATGATTCCATGGATTCTAAGGGAAAATAAAAAATGCCCTGCCTGTTTACAGTTTTGTACATAATTTAATACCAAGTAATTTTTTGGGGTCTGTTTTGACAATAAGGAGATTTTCTATTTTTTTTAGGAAAGTATTTCAAAAGTATAATATGTATAATTTTAAAATTTATTTTGATGTATTATTTAGTTAAGAAAGGAATCAAGTTACATCAGTGTAACTTTTACAATTATTATATTATTAAATAAATTTATATTAAAAATAAATTTTATTGGTATAACTGTTAAATTATAATGTTATATTATATTATGTATGTCAATTTTTATTAAAGTTGAACAATAATACAAAATGTAATCAAATGATTCATATTTTAGTATATTTAATATATATATATATATATATAATGTCAATTTTAATATATATAAAAAAGATATTAAATAATTATAAATTAATATAAAATTTGGTATAAAGAGTTTAGATGAAAGAAACATTTAATAGTAGATTTTAACAAAGCCTTATTAATTAAAGATTATTGAATAATACAATAATTTATAAAAGTTACATCAATATAATTTAATTTTTATTTAATTATTATAAGAAAATTACCCAATAAACCTTATGAAGATATAATGAAGTAAAAAAAAAAAACAGAATAAAAAAGGGAGGAAGTACATTATAAATGGATCCAATTTTTGTGTTCATATTGCATATTACAGGACTTAATCAACTAAAGAACTTTATGTTACATCCAAATCAATGTACATACATGAATGAGAGAAAGAGAATATTTGGTTATTGTTTTTTTTATACATCAAAATTACGATATTATTACATATTTTAAATATAAGACTTTGTTATGTTGATGATCATCACTAAATCAATATTAGTGATTCAATTATTATAGGAACATGATATCAAACAATAATAATTATGGAATTAAAATTTCAAAATACCTTATCTGTAGAGTTATATATGTTGGCTCCAAATTAAAAATCTCATGAAATAAGGAATGATTACGGAGCAAAATATCTGGGATAATAAATTATTACTAATAAAGGGGGAAATGATTTAATACATGTTGGCATTATAAACAAGCGAGAGAAAAAAATAATCATAAGAGAAGACTTGAGTGCTCTAGACTTAGGTTGTTTAGGGTTAACCGTGCTTAAGCAATCTATAATAATAATAATAATAATAATAATAATAATAATAATAATAATAATATTATTATTATTATTATTATTATTATTATTATTATTATTATTATTAAATTGTAGAAATTAAAACATTTTATAAATAGTTTCATTATTAATGGTGTTATCACCCTTATCTCTTAGTACAATGACAATAACAACAATATTGGTAGTTCCTCCTCTCAAAAAAGAAAACATTGGTAGTTCCATAAAAAGTGTTTATAATTATTATTTGACTTATAATTGTTGTTATGAAATTTTGTTAGAATCGATCCCTAAATATTTATTATTTTGTTGTTTGACTTTTAATTATTTCTGAGTTTTTATAATTAAGAAATAAAAATCATTATACTGTCTTGTTTTGATATTAGCGTTAATTATATTTATGTTTTTGACGGTAAATTACACCTACTTACCTTTCACCTCGTATCCTTAATAAAAAGTTCAAATAATAATAAAAAAAACAATTTTTCGTTATATCATTATCTTTACATATTTAAAAATAAAAATGAAATAATGGTATGAAATGTTTTAGTAATACACAAGAGAAGTGAAAGACATATTTTAAAATAAATAAAATTATTATTTACATTTATAATTTATATGTTGTAATTTTTACTAAAGTTGTCAAAATTTCCTTAGTCTTGGTATTTTTATTTTTTAATAAAATACATATAATATTATGCAAAAATAAATAAATAAAACAAGTCAAATTGATTTTATTAGGCAAAATATTTTGACAACTCTAATTTTAACACACTATGATTGGGATTGGGTGTGTGAAAAATATATTTAAAGATGAAAGAAATAGTAAAAATTTGTAGTAAATAGAAATTAGTTTTTAAGTTGTTGTTTAGATTAAAAAGACTAAAGAAGAAAATAAATATAAGAGAAAAATTATTAAAACTCCTCTTTTCAATTATTTGGTTAGACATAAGTGGGGAAATGTGTTTCTCGTCTCTTGCTTCATTGGATACCCACAAACTGAGAAGAGAGAAACTTATTTATTTTTTAAAAGAACAAAATATATCCAGATATAAAAGCAAATCCAATATAGAATTTCATAGTGAATAAAAGTTATAAGATAATTTAGGTGGTACCAGAGAAAAGAATAGAGTTGGAATGAGAAGGGAGAGTGAATTTGAATCTCTCAACCAGCATAACTCATTATTTATTATTATTTACTTATAAAAAGAACAATTTCATAGTAAATTTAGGTTTTATCAAAATCACTCTCACACACCCAATCGTCACACAGGTTGATGAAATAGTGGTTGCAAGAGCCACCAACCAAAGTTGCAGAAGCAAAGCTAGTTAAATATGAAGAAAAACTGTAACTATAGAGGTCTATAATTGGAATGATAAAAATTAGGTTAAATTTTCCTACCCTTTTCTTCTCAATTTGGAGATAAGGCAACTTGACCGAGATGACAACCTTTCTTTAGTATATAAAATCAGGAATATTAAAAATAAAAAATAAAAATTTCTCTAAATCAGATTTTATAAATCGTTAATATAAATTTGAGTATAAATTAAATTTATAAAATTATCTTATATAACCTAAATCAACTTTATAAAATTGCTTTACAAAATAAATATTTAAGTGAAATTTATCTCTTATTCATATATTTTTAAATTATTTTACATGTAGTTGATGAATACACTTTTTTTTATGTATAATACTATTGGATTTACGTGAATGAATAAATAATGATTTTTTTAAAAGTATACAATAAATGGTATAACTTTTATGTACTTATAATTGTTAGCTTTATGTAATATGATATTGAATATGTGGTAATTAGAAAGTTAAGATGGTGACGAAGTAGAAATGGAAGAGTAAAGAGTCTTATTAAATATAATAATGATTATTTGTTCTAATATATTTGTTTGTAATATATACAACTTAAATAACTTTTATAATATATTATTGATTTTAAATTATATATTTAATAATATAATATTTATGTAAATATTACATATATTATTTTGTGATATTAATTACAAGTATATTATATATATATATA